TGGCATGAGCCTGTAATTTCTGAGGGGAGAGGGACTTGGGCAAATCAAATAAATATCAGCCTTAAAAATTTTGTGAAATTTTTATTTAGAGCATAACTAGGAATATCTGAAGGAAGTCAGAAATCCAATATGGAAATATTCACATGTAATTAGAGGACAGTCCATGGTTGGTTCTTAGCAATTAAAAACTAGAAACAATAACCTTTGGCAACACAAAATAGTAAGCACTGGTTTTTTCATTCTCAAGGCTTAGCATATTACAATTTAATGTTATGGCAAGATCATTTCTTTTTCTCAACCCTGGAATCAGAAAGTTCCTCATAATGAAAATGGAGAAACATTTTCAGAGTTTGCATCTTACTACTTATTTTCTTAATGTGACTACTTGGTGGGGATATTGTTTTAGTGAAAAATAATGTTTTACTCTAGAGGGTGCAGTTCTAGTCCCCAAGGATAGACTTTCTTATACATGGTAAGAATACCATGTTACCTTTCAAACATTAAAGTTTCTGAGTAGAGGAAGGTAATGAAGACAAGAATTTCTGGTTTTGTATCCAAGAACTGAATGTAATATTAATCTCTACCTTAGAGGTAAGGACACCAAAATAAATACCAGACCTGATTTTGAGACAACAGGATGCTTGTAGAGTACATGTTGCTAGTCTTTTCATCAGAGCAAATGCTTTAAAGAATAAATTGAAACCAGATTTTTTTCATTTCTTTAGTTCCAAACCAAAGAGTCTAAACATCATTCTTCAGGAAAAGAAATTAGGAAAAACAGTCTTCCCAGATAAGTAGAGAAGTAGAGTTAGATGCCACATTGACTGAAGCAAGGAATATTCCATGCCAAACAAATTAATCTTTTAAAGCATAGTAAGTAATTTGCATTTTGACATTTCACCAGAAAAAAATTTGCAAAGAGAGTTAGCTCATAGGGGGAAGGTTCTTGGGAAGACTCATATTACTGTGGCATGTAAAGGATAAAATAAGTTTTCCAGTGGTTTCTCAAAGCACAAAAATGACTTATGCTGTCAGTGGAACAGTGATTACCCCCATTAGTGGAATGTAAAAGCCCAGCTCAATTAAATTACTTATGCTACGTTTTTTTCTTTCCTTATGAATATATTTTGACATTCAAGTACATCTTCATGAACTAACAGAAACTGAAGCAGCTACAATTTATTCTGTTTCTAATTGTGGCTAAATGATGGTGCGATTCATCAATAAACAGATAGCTGTGTTTCACAGTGTATCCTAGTTTACAGAGGGATTATGACACCATGGCGTGCGAGGAATGCATCGATGGGAGGAAGGCAAATGCAGATTTGCTATTTCACAAATGCTTCATAACTTAGAGTTGGATTTAATGTTTTGGCTGAATGCTGTTATCTTAGAAGAGTTCAGTAAAATAAATTTTAAAATGTAAACTCTAAGGGAATGTAACATTTCATCTCATTTAGGAGGCTGTAATTATTAGCAGTCACATGGCATAGGGAGACAAGATGGAGAATGTGGGTGATTTTTAAGTTATTGCATATCTCCTCATACGTAATGGAGCTAATTGAATTAAAAGGTTTGATTATGAGAAGAAACACTAAATCCTTATTAGATGGTGAAAAGTAATTTTAGTGTATTTGCTTAATATATAGCTTAAATTATTATTTACTGGCTTGCATGAATATCTTGCGCGTAGCTTTGTAAATGTGACAGGCAATACAAGTAATGTTCCTACTTCTCCATGATATTGGTAACAAACCACACACACTACCAATAGAATGTTTACAGTTACGCTGTTAATTACATACATAATTAACATAGCTCTTTGAGAAATAAACATTGAACTATATTCTTTCTGCCTGTTATCATAGATAATAGTGAAGCATCAAGTTTGAATGCTTTGGTGTAAGCTACAGTCTTAATACCACTCTCATACTTGGTTTTAGGCATCTAATGAAGTTGCAGGGTCCCTTGGTCTCAATTAGGCAGAGAAAATGAAAAAAAAAAGAGCAGCCATATGTGGAATAGACCAAGTTCCTGGCGTGGTTTTACTTTGTATCAATTCACTTTCCTGAAAAATATTCCAGGCTGTGAGTTGAATCTATTCCACTAGAGCAGAGTTATTTCACTCAGGAGGATCATGAAGGTGTGCCCTAATTGCCTCCCATAAGCAATGTCTCTTAAAGACATATATACTTCTCAGCATCACCATGTGGGACCAAACTTGGAGTACACACAACTTTGGTAAGAGCACTGAAATCATGAAATTTCATATGATGGGGCGAGTCAGGTTACAAACTACTAACTGAAATAACGTATATTTTGCACCCAATAACTTGAGGATTTTCACAGAAATAATACTTTGATAAAACAGAAGAGGTCTATGCTTTATAAACAGATATTAGAATCCCAATGTGAATGAAGCCCTACTTTGCTGTACTTAAAGTTTTAGCAAATCATCAGGTTAATTTTTATCATATATATACATATACATATATATATATCTCAATGGTTTTTTGAAAAAGTAATCGTATTCTTGACATTTAAAGGGAAAGCTTGTAGTTTCTTCTCAATCAAATTTACACTTCTCCCTATTTTTCTTTTACAAGTGTGTTTGCATGACTGTGCACACACACACAACTTCGCTGTTACCCAAAGGATGATAAAATCATAAATAACTAAAACAGATTTTTGTGGCTGGTACTCATTGACATTTTCAGCAAAGTTAATATGAAAGTTGTCTTTAGAAAGAAATGGGGCCCCAGCATGTAAGCCAATATCCCACTTAGATTCTTTCAATCCATGTGAATCGCAGAATATAAACTACCAACGTATAAATACTAAAGGAACTGATCTGTAAGGCTAGGTCTCCGACATAGTGGTTATAGTAACAAGACTAAATCTTAAGTACACAAGTGTGAAAGGATAACTTTGGAAAATGTGACACAGTGGTTCGCAGATCAGAGTTTCCTAACTGCGAACAGTCACTCTAGAAGAGAAGCCTTTTAAAAATGAATTCTCCATGCTCAGTTTCTGCAAAAGAGTGCATTATGGAACTGATGAAATTTTAAAGTAATACAAAACCAATTCATGACTGAGGTTCATATTGTTTCCAGTACTACAAAAATGTTTATTCCTTAGCATGTTCTGGAAATTGCAGCAAATACTGTCTCTTGTTCAAAGCACATTAATTATAAAAGAGAACTTGAGAAGAGAACAATTTGTGCTGAATATTTTGACTTCAAAACAAAATGATCACATTTTCCACTTTGGTTTAGAAAGTTTGGCTCCAAATATGGAAAATAGTAGCAATAATAATATTCTATGATATTCTCTATTGTCTCATCTCACTGTAAGTAAATAAACAACTTAAGTGTATTGTAGCTCTGACATTTCAAGGTTCTAGGCACAATAGTTTAAAAAGTTTACCATTTAAATGTGAAAACAACATATCTATGGTTAAAAATAAAATTTTATTTTCCTTGGAACCTTCTCATCTCCTTCCAGATGCATCATTATTCATACACAACATGACTATGACGCTTGAGACACGTGAGCCAGAAAACATGGCTATGAGGGTAAGGGGATTTATCAAGCGAAAGATCTGAATGAGATTCCTGGGCACATATGTTGGAAGGATCATATACAGTACAGATAATAAACACACATTTTATCATGTGGATTTTCATACACCTCAAATTTCCTGAATACCATTTCCTTTAGTGTGCCATAAAATTGCTAAGAAATCAATTATTTGGATTTTAGAAATCAGAATAATATGAATTCTTAATGGCAGCGCAGTTTCTCAGAACTAGCACCAAATTAGAAACACAAAACCAAAAACAAAAATACAAAGGAACCTGGCTTCTCTTATTCAGTGTGAAAAATGCTCAGACTTAAATGAATGTGAACAGCTCCCTCTAAGTCATCACTGGTATTTGTGGATGAAGACACAAACACTATGCCTTATGGTTGTTTTATATTTCCTTGCTGCATTTTCCTCTCAGAAACTGATCTTAACACTGGCATTCTTCATTCATTGCTTCTCCTAATTAAGGCGCCTAAAATATACTGAATTAGATGTTACTTTCAATTACTTCATTGAGAAGAACAAAGTCTTTCATTTTTTGCTTTAATATTTCGCAGTGTGTAAAGTGAAAATAGACACGCCTTTACTAATTTGATTAAAACATATAATGGTGTGTATGATATCAGAGAATTTAGATAAAAAAGGTAAAAATCATGTACTTTAAAAGATAGCCCAACCTAAGTGGTTGATAAATACTATATAGATGCTATTACTGCTGATTAAAGATCTATTTCAAGAAATTTGTTGTCCTTTGTTCAAGTTTGCACAGTGAAACTTAAATGATAAAGAAATACACAGTGCAGCACCTCAAACCTTAAGAATGGCTTTGAATAGTTGACAGTGTCCCTATATAGGACAGCAGATTGAAGTTGAAGAGGAATGGTCCTAGTTGTCAGTGATTCTGCTGAAACCAAATGTAGGGGTTTAGCTTGCCACCATGCCAAAGGAGTAATATTCTTTAAAGCAGGGGTTCTCAGGGGCTGAATATCAGATATCTGTATATAATAATTTGCATTATGGGTCTTAACAGTAGCAAACTTACAGTTGAAAAGTAACAACAAATAATTACAGTTGTTATGCTTGTGACAACCAAACAACAGGAACTGTTTCAAAGGACTGTAGCATAAGGAAGGTTGAGAATCACTGCTTTACAACCTCAATTTCATAGATGCAGGGAAGAAAACAATCTTACCCTCATCATGAGAAGTGAAATGGTACTCGAGGTGTAATAAGGATTTTAAAAAGTATCATTTGTTTTCATTCTATTTTCTTCTCTTTTTCTCCTTTCTTGTATTCTCTTTGTTTTGTTCTCTTAAACACTTGCCATTAGGAAAGCATTCTAGAGGCTGAAGAGATGCCTCAGTTGGTGAGCTCCCTGACGTGGAGGCACAAGGAAACGGGTTTTTATTCCTACCTTAGTGTTCTGGCAAATGCCTGCAATCCTAGACTATGTAGGAGAGACAGGAGAAGCCATGGATCCAGGATCCCAGCCAGTCTACCCAATAAGCAAGCTGTAGATTTAGTACTGGTGTCTAAAAAAAAGAGAAGGTGGAAAGTAATATATAGAGATACTTTTGTGTTGTATTGTCTTCAGGCGTCAACACACATGAATTTATACATATAGATGCTCCCCCAACATATTATCATGATCATTTGTGTTAATTGAATATAACTTGGCAAAATGTGATCCTTTATGTGACAAGAATAATGAAACTGAATAAGACTGCTATAATTTAAATACACATACACACATGAGATTCGTATTCTCTGGAAAATTGTCTTCTATTTAAGTGATGCTTGACATAACAATTTGATAAATTAGGTTTCATTAAAATTAAAAGTTTTATCTCTTCAAAAGACTTCATTGGCACAAAATGAATGAAAAGAGTGATAACAGAACTCAGGGATGTAGGAATGAACCCCACAAAGCTACCCGCCCAACAGGGCGGGGTCAAGGAAGAGATAAAAGGTAGTGAAAGGAAAAGGGGCCTCTCTCTTTTTCTCCTGGAAGCCAGCCACGCTTCTAACTCCTGGTATGTGCGACTCTCTCTCTCCCTGATAAATAAATATATTGTTTTTCCCTATATAGCCTCGATTATCGCTTATACAGGGAAAATAAACTTTTATTTTACAGTTCAGTATGATTCAAAGGAACACACCTGTTTTTAGCAATATGCTAAGATTTTTCTATTGCTTTAACAAACATATAATAATATACTTACAAAAAATTACCCAGTTCGTTACTATCAAGGCCTCTGCTCTCCAAGAGAATTCTCACAAATAACCTGTCATTTTCACTCATTAGTGAAGTAGGTATGTATCACTGACATAAAATATTTAGAGGTATTTTTACTTATTCTTTGAAACTTTCATACACATATATAATGCATTTTGATTGTGTTTAGCCTCCTCGCTCCAAATTTGACTGGATTCCCTCCTAACAGGGGCCACAAACCTTAAGGAAATTGCCTGCCCACCCCCAATACCCATCATCTATCAACAGCTTCACAGAAGGGCATGAGGGTTTGTTTGGGTCTCCCTCTTCCCATGCATACTTTTGGTGTCTTGATCTCATCCAGGCCTTGGGCAAGTTACCAGAGCTGCTGTGAGTACATTAGTGCATCATCCCTATGACATTCAGAAAACACTTTCACCTCCAGCTCTTGCACTCTCATCCATGAGTTTTATTGAGCATTGGGAGGGACAGACTGTTGCACGATATTTAATCACACTATATGCCCCGTGATTGTATTATTTACTGGCAAAGAACTGTTTCTAGTTGAAGTGTGTCTCAGCCTTCATATACATCTTTAACACAAGAGCTATCTTCTTGAACACTGTAAACAGGATTAAATAAAGCCAACCATAGGTCAGCAGACAGAGCAAGCAACCAGTTGACAGGAAGTGAAGACAGGATTATAAACCCACAGAAACAGCTAACCTGAACAAGGAGGAGCTCATGGACTCCAGACTGATGACTGACAGGCCAGCATGAGACTGATCCAGAAGCCCTGAACGTGGGTGTCAGTGAGGAGGCCTCGCAATCTTTGGGGCCTCATGCAGTAGATCAGTATTTATCCCTGACATCCAAATGGACTTTGGGAGCCCATTCCACATGGAGGGATGTTCTCTCAGCTTGGACACATGGGGCAGAGCCTAGGTCCTGCCCCAGATGATATGACAGACTTTGGACATCCCCCATGAAGGATCTCACCATCCCACGAGAATTGAGTGGGAGTTGGATGTGGGGTTGGGGGGGATTGGCCGTGGTGGGGGGAGGAGGGGAGGGAGAAGGAGCTGGGGTTGACATGTAAAGCAAGATTTTTTCTAATTTAAATAAATAAATATAAAATAAGAAAAAATAGCATAGTAAGGGAGAGTCAGCGGGTCTGATAGAGAGATGCATGGGGAGTAGAAGGGGGGGGGGGACACCGAGAGAGACTTGTTGGAGAAGATAAGAGGAGAAGGCTTCTGGGAAGTCTGCAGAGGCAGAAGGGCAGCTGGGTGCTTTCTCTGCCTCTTTGAGCTCACAGGCTTTATCTCTGGTATCTGGCTCCTGAGTCTTCATTGTTAAAACTCAAATGCCTGAGATTTTGTTACAAATGACAAGGCACTGTGATACTGGTCTTCACATTTGTTGCTGAGCAAGTCACGAGAACTTACTCTCATCACTTTACACAGTTGTGGGCTTGTGCATTAACCACCAAACTCTGATCAAAGAAACTTCTCTGATGGTGACCAAGAGTTGCACCAAGCTCTGAATACAGACATGAATATTTATAGGGCAGTCTAATATTACCCCAGTTAGAAAAGTAAGCCTATTCCTCCCTAGAGTCTATGGCCTTATATGCCCTGGATTCTTGGCAAAGTATAGAGTAACAGGTTTGTGTTTTCTCCTATGCAGTAGACATTAACTCCAATAAATAATCAATTTGTAACTCCAATAAAATTGATACCACTAATGCATCCATGAGCAATTATTATTTGCTAGGCTAGTTATTATTGTATCCTAAAGGTTTCATGGATGGTTAAGGTTGTTGATGACTTTTATCCTCTATCAGTCTACAGAACACCTTCTGGCACTATGAGAGCCAGTCAGCAAGAAGGAAGGATCCATGCCAGCACTACTTGGATCTCTCCATGTACCATGACTGAGTTTCTTGGTATTTTCGGCAGACAGACTTATTGTCAAATCTTCTGTGGTAATAAGATCAAAGACAATAACACATATTACTTTGGGGGACTCTGGGACTGCCCCCCCACAACCAACCACTTAAAAAAGTTTATGACACACCTGTTACTGGACTTTTGGCTTGACAATCTGTGACTTCAGAGAGCAACATTACCACCCAACACTAACTCCATTTCAACGCTATTTCAAGAAGGCAAGGTATTCTCATATGTTTAATATTACACAATCGTAATTTGTTTTCTTAATCAATTTCAATATTCTCTTTGTTTATGGTACTCACTATTACATTCATTTGATTCATGTACATTCATAAAAAATATTTTTAAAACTTACTTTTACTATGCTTGGCAGTGGTGTCACACGCCTTTAATCCCAGCACTCGGGAGGCAGAGATAGGTGAATCTCTGTGAGTTTGAGACCAGCCTACTTTACAAGAGCTAGTTCCAGGACAGCTTCCAAAGCCACAGAGAAACCCTGCCTCAAGGAAAAATATTTTTACTGTTGTATAGGACCCAAAAGTCTAAATATATGAATTAGGTAATTAAAGGAGTAAACTAAACTCAAAGGCTTCACTTCTAATAATTTAGAAATAAAGGGACCAGACCCTCAATCAGTCCCCTGCTTTAGCAGCCATGACAGGCTACAGAAAAGACATGTAGGCCTCTGACACAAGGAAAGTCCAGATCTTCTGTCCTCCTGGAGTCTAGGGCCAAAACTGAACATAAAGAAACTCTAGCCCCCCCCACACCCCAGTTTCCTAGATGTGTGGTTCCTGGGAAGTGTTTGGCCACAAAAGAAACTTCAGGGGGGACCGAAAACTCCCCAGTGGTCTCCAGGATATAGTTCTGGAAACTACTGATATCTATGTACAACAGGCCACCTGAAAGTAACAAGACAATGCCACAGAAACCACTGAATGTTTCCTCTCAGTGCTGACCAGTGAAAATAATTGGTACACAGGTATTTCATGCCAAAATATGATTTTGAGAAATGCCCCAATTCTACCCAAATCAATCAATCAGAAACCAACCCATACCTACTGATATAATCCTGTAACTTTTGTCTTTAAATCCTAACAGTAGACAGGGAACTTCACTCCCTCTGGGGGCTGCTGCAACAGCTAGCCAGACGGGGTCGCTGTCATAGCTGGATGAACAATCATTAAACCTTACTTTTGCAGTTTAGTGGGTCTGTCTTCCTGGTGGTCTCTAGGGACTTTGCAACTTGGGCACAACAGTATATGGATGGATTCTTTGTCTGGCTTTTCTTTTATATATACAAGCTTCTCTGACCACAAATGTACATTGACTGTAAGAAGAGAGTGGCTTTACAATGACTGTGTCGTAGTTAGGGTTTCTATTGCTGCAACAAAACATCATGAGTGAAAAGCAAGTTGGTTAAGGAGAAGGCTTCTTAGACTTACACTGCAGCGTTGCTGTTCATTACTAAAGGAAGTCAGGACAGGAACACAAACAGGGCAGGATCCCAGAGGTGGGAGCAGACGCAGAGACCATGCAGAGGTGCTGCTTACTGTCCTGCTTCCCATGGCTTGCTCAGCCTGCTTTCTTAGAGAATCAGGACCAGCAGTCCAGTGATGGTGCCACCCACCATAAGCTGGGCCATATCTCATTGATCACTAATTAAGAAAATGTCTTACAGCTGGATCTCAAGGAGGCATTTCCTCAGCCTAAGAAGTTCCTTCATCAGATGACTCTATCTTGTGACAGATTGACACAAAAAAAAACATCCAGTAGACAAATATATAAATGTTTAAAATTTTTTGCTTGAAAACTTGTTTTTTATCTGTTTTTTATTTTAAATTTAGATTAGAAACAAAGTTGCTACACATGTCAATCCCAGCTCCCTCTTCCTCCCTCCTCCCATGCCCTCCCACCAAATCCCCAGCCCTCCCCCATCCACACTCTGTTCCCCAGGGGGGGTGATGACCTTCATGGGGGATCTCCAGAGTCTGTCATTTCATTCAGGGCAGGGCCTAGACTCTCCCCCAGGAGTCCAAGCTGAGAAAGCATCCGTTATTGTGGGATGGGCACCCAAAGTCCATTTGTATGCCAGGGATATATACTGATTTACTACCAAGGCACCATAGGTTGCCTTGGCCTCCTCACTGACACACACATTTATGGGGGTCTGGATCAGTCCTATGCTGGATTCCCAGCCATCAGTCTGGGGTTCAAGAGCTTCCCCCGATTCAGGTCAACTGTTTCTATGGGTTAAACAAGTCCAGTCTTGACCCCTTTGCTCATCAGTCCTCCCTCTCTGTTACTGGGTTCCAGGAGTTCAACTCA